ACAGTGTAAGTGACAAAGGATGCTAGCAAGTATTTAACTAGAATAGTACAGTGTATGTGACAAAAATGGCAGCAAGAATTTATCTAGAATAGGACAGTGTTTGTGACAAAGGATGGCAGCAAGTATTTAACTAGAATAGGGTAGTGTAAGTGACAAAGGATGGCAGTAGTATTTAACTAGAATATGACAGTGTAAGTGACAAACGATGGCACCATGTATTTAAATAGAATAGGACAGAGTGTGTGACAAAGGATGGCACCAAGTATTTACCTAGAACAGGAAAGTGTATGTGACAAAGGATGGCACCAAGTATTCAGCTAGAATAGGACAGAGTAAGTGATAAAGGGTGGCAGCAAGTATTTAACTAGAGTAGGACAGTGTGTGTGACAAGGGATGGCAGCAAGTATTTAACAAGAAGAGGACAGTTTTAGTGACAAAGGATACCACAAAGTAATCATGTCTAGAATATGACAGTGTGTGTTAAAATGATGGCAGCAAGTATTTACCTAGAATAGGACAGTGTATGTGACAAAGGATGGCACAAAGTATTTACCTAGAATAGGACAGTGTATGTGACAAAGGATGGCAGCAAATACTTTACTAGATTAGGACAGTGTAAGTGACAAAGGATGGTGGCAAGCATTTAAATAGAATAGGCTATTGTAAGTGACAAAGGATGGCGGCAAGTATTTAACAAGAATGGGGCAGGGTAAGGGGCAAAGGATGGCAGTAGTATTTACCTAGAATATGACAGTGTTTGTGACAAAGGATGGCAGCAAGTATTTATCTAGAATAGGACAGTATGTATGAGAAACGATGGCAGCAAGTATTTAACAAGAAGAGGACAGTGTAAGTGACAAAAGATGGCACCAAGTATTTACCTTGAATAGGACAGTGTATGTGACAAATGATGGCAGCAAGTATTTACCTAGAATACGTCAGTGTATTTGACAAAGGATGGCGGCAAGTATTTAACTAAAATAGGACTGACTGACTGACTGAGTTTGGTTTTACGCCGCTTTTAGCAATATTCCAGCAACATCACGGCGGGGGCCTCCAGAAATGGGCTTCACACATTGTGCCGATGTGGGGATTCGAGCCCGGATCTTCGGCGTGACGAGCCAACGCTTTAACCATTAGGCTACCCCACCGCCTCAACTAGAATAGGACAGTGTATGTGACAATTTATGGCACCAAGTATTTACCTATAATAGGACAGAGTAAGTGACACAGGATGGAAGCAAGTATTTATCTAGAATAGGAGAGTGTGTCTGACAAGGGATGGCAGCAAGTATTTATCTAGAATAGGACACAGTGTATGTGACAAAGGAAGGCACAAAGTATTTATCAAGAATAGGACAGTGTATGTGAGAAAGGATTGCACCAAGTATTTATGTAGAATAGGACAGTGTATGTGACAAAGGATGGCAGCAGGTATTTACCTAGAATAGGCTATAGTAAGTGAAAAAAGATGGCAGCAAGTATTTACCTAGAATAGGAGAATTTTAGTGTCAAAGGATCGCAGAAAGCATTTATGTAGAATAGGACAGTGTAAATGACAAATGATGGTAGCAAGTATTTAACAAGAAGAGGACAGTGTAAGTGACAAAAGATGGCACCAAGTATTTACCTTGAATAGGACAGTGTATGTGACAAAGGATGGCAGCAAGTATGTAACTAGAATAGGACAGTGTATGTGACAAATTATGGCACCAAGTATTTAACTAGATTATGACAGTGTGTGTGACAAAGGATGCCACAAAGTATTTATATCTCGAATATGACAGTGTGTGTGACAAAAGATGGCACCAAATATTTAACAAGAATAGGACAGTGTAAGTGACAAAGGATGGCACCAAGTATTTACCTATAATAGGCCAGAGTAAGTGACACAGGATGGAAGCAAGTATTTATCTAGAATAGGACAGTGTGTGTGACAAGGGATGGCAGCAAGTATTTATCTAGAATAGGACACAGTGTATGTGACAAAGGAAGGCACAAAGTATTTATCAAGAATAGGACAGTGTATGTGAGAAAGGATGGCACCAAGTATTTATGTAGAATACGACAGTGTATGTGACAAAGGATGGCAGCAGGTATTTACTTAGAATAGGCTATTGTAAGTGACAAAGGATGGCGGCAAGTATTTACCTTGAATAGGGCAGTGTTAGGTGCAAAGGATGGCAGTAGTATTTACCTAGAATATGACAGTGTTTGTGACAAAGGATGGCACCAAATATTTAACAAGAATAGTACAGTGTAAGTGACAAAGGATGGCACCAAATATTTACCTAGAATAGGACAGTGTTTGTGACAAAGCATGGCAACAAGTATTTATCTAGAATAGGACAGGATGTGTGAGAAACGATGTCACCAAGTATTTTACTAGAATGGGACAGTGTATGTGACAAAGGATGGTAGCAAGAATTTAACTGGAATATGACAGTGAAAGTGACAAAGAATGGCACCACGTAATTTCCTAAAATAGGACAGTGTAAGTGACAAAGGATGGCAGCAAGTATTTATGTAGAATAGGACAGTGTATGTGACAAATGATGGCAGCAAGTATTTAACAAGAAGAGGACAGTATAAGTGACACAAGATGGCACCAAGTATTTACCTTGAATAGGACAGTGTATGTGACAAAGAATGGCAGCAACTATTTACCTAGAATAGGTCAGTGTATGTGACAAAGGATGGTAGCAAGTATTTAACTAGAATAGGACAGTGTATGTCACAAATTATGGCACCAAGTATTTAACTAGATTATGACAGTGTGTGTGACAAAGGATGGCACCAAATATTTAACAAGAATAGGACAGTGTAAGTGACAAAGGATGGCACCAAGTATTTACCTATAATAGGCCAGAGTAAGTGACACAGGATGGAATCATGTATTTATCTAGAATAGGACAGTGTGTGTGACAAGGGATGGCAGCAAGTATTTATCTACGAATAGGACACAGTGTATGCGACAAAGGAAGGCACAAAGTATTTATCAAGAATAGGACAGTGTATGTGAGAAAGGATGGCACCAAGTATTTTTCTAGAATACGACAGTGTATGTGACAAAGGATGGCAGCAGGTATTTACCTAGAATAGGCTATTGTAAGTTACAAAAGATGGCAGCAAGTATTTACCTAGAATAGGACAATGTTAGTGTCAAAGGATGGCAGAAAGTATTTATGCAGAATAGGAGAGTGTAAATGACAAATGATGGCAGCAAGTATTTAACAAGAAGAGGACTGTGTAAGTGACAAAAGTTGGCACCAAGTATTTACCTTGAATAGGACAGTGTATGTGACAAATGATGGCAGCAAGTATTTACCTAGAATAGGTCAGTGTTTGTGACAAAGGATGGCAGCAAGTGTGTAACTAGAATAGGACAGTGTATGTGACAAATTATGGCACCAAGTATTTAACTAGATTATGACAGTGTGTGTGACAAAGGATGCCACAAAGTATTTATATCTAGAATATGACAGTGTCAGCGACAAAGGATGGCACCAAATATTAAAGTAGAATAGGACAGTGTCAGTGACAAAGGATTGCACAAAGTATTTACCTTGAATAGGACAGTGTATGTGACAAAGGATGGCAGCAAATATTTGACTAGAATAGGACAGTGTATTGACAAAGGATGGCAGCAAGTATTTACCTAGAATATGACAGTGTAAGTGACAAAGGATCGCACCAAGTATTTGAATAGAATAGGACAGAGTGTGAGAAAGGATGGCACCAAGTATTCACCTAGAATAGGACAGAGTAAGTGACAAGGGATGGAAGCAAGTATTTATCTAGAATAGGACAGTGTATGTGACAAAGGATGGCACCAAGTATTTATCTAGAATGGGACAGTGTATGTGACAAAGTATGGCAACAAGTATTTACCTAGAATATGACAGTCTAAGTGACAAAGGATGTCACCAAGTGACAAAGGAAGGCAGCAAGTATTTATCTAGAATAGGACAGTGTATGTAAAATTCAGGATCACGTACTGGAATCGGTGAACGCTTCATTAATGTCTCGGGCCAGTAGTTATGTTTCGATAACATAATGTTTACCGAATATCAATGTATAACGTTAACGATTTTTTTTACTGTTTTCACAAGAATAACACATTTAAGAAATTTTTCAGCTGTAGTTCAAATACCTCTGCATGTAACTGATCACAGCGTGGCCGTGGGTTGTATTTCACCCACAGAAATCATATTAGTTGTCCTGTTCTTGCCTTAACACGGTAACAACTACAATATGTTTGGAGTGACTCCTTTAGTGATATCATCTACAATTACATCGATCGCGTGAGAACACTGTGTAAAACAACTTGTTAACATTAAACAAGCTAACCCTGCTCTCCGGGAGGCGTTACTATTGCCTTGTGGGACGTATTTGTTTGGGCCTTCTATCACTGGCATATATTTGTAATTAGCGTTAACCCGGCAACTCACTGGATCTAACAAGCAGCAATTCCGCCAAACAACACTAAAAGTCAGGTGTGTTTCACGCGATTCTCAAGGGAAAGCATTTCAATGTCCGGACAGTCAGGAGCAAATCAGATGAACTATATTTCTGTATTTCCCGGTGTGATTACTAATGCTTTAGTTTGACATGGGCGCACTGTCATCATCAAGCATTCAAGGCTATAGTTATGAGAGACAGCGCTGTGACTTTATAGCCTTTAAACACTTACTGGTCTAGACAAAGGTTCTGGACATCAGCCATTGCTTCAGTCAACACTGTAGTGCCACACATTCAGTTTTCCAGGAAGTAGAACGTTCGACATAGTTTGTTGGAAGTAATTTCTATCCCCAATAGATGCTAACAAAGTCCAAATGATAAAAACAAAATTATCTAGAAAACCGGAGCTGTCCAAATTGTAGTATAGAAATGAACATGTAACGTTTTCATAACGGTACACAAATGGAGATGCGGGAGGTTTAATACCAGCAATTAACCCTCACCACAACGTGCGTCTATAAGGAAGAAAGAAGCCTCACCTTAATTATCCCCGCCTCAAAGTAATATCCTTCTCTCCTATGACTTCTGCACAGCACTGACAGAGATGTTGGTTGTGGTAGTCGTACGGACAGAGCTTGTCCAATCGAACACGCCGCTATCTGTGCAGCCGCTGCAAGCAGTGGAGCAGTGAGCACAATATGCCGTGTGATTGGCGCGGGGGAGAAACGGAGGAGTGCGATACACCTGGCTGGTGGATGAACTGACTGATCTGCTGCTTTGAATGGATGTTTGTCCTGGCCAGGCATGATGTGTGTGTGTGAGTGTGTGTGTGAGTGTGAGTGTGAGTGTGAGTGTGTGTGTGAGTGTGTGTGTGTGTGTGTGTGTGTGTGTGTGTGTGTGTGTGTGTGTGTGTGTGTGTGTGTGTGTGTGTGTGTGTGTGTGTGAGAGAGAGAGAGAGAGGGAGGGAGGAAGAGAGAGAGAGAGAGACAGACAGAGAGAGACAGAGAGAGAGATGGAGGAAGGAGTCATTTCTATATTCATATGTAAGCTTTACGTGATGAGGACACTGGAAGATGTATTAGGAACAATGCCAGGTGATAGCGAGAATGGAAGCGAGTCCTCCTCAGTTGATGGCCCCCATCACAAACATGTGCATGTGAGTGTATGTGTATGTCTGTGAGTGAGTCTCTCAGTTAGCGTGTTTTAGCGTTAGTGTATGTGTGACAGCGAGACCAACAAATTAACACATATGACAGACTAAATAAACAGCAACTAAACTACGGTTTCCAGATATTTCAGTATCATATGGTATGCCTCTTCATGTATTACGTTAAATTCTGAATGTTTTAAGCTGGAGTGTTCCGGGTCAGGAAGAGGCCATGGCACCAGGCTATGTACAACGTGGCTCGCTCTGGCTCCTCAAATGAACAAACACATACTAACGGGAAAAAATACCGGTGCATAACATAACATTGCACGAAATGGAGGTTGTTTGAAAAGTTATAAAAAAATACAACCTAAATAAACATGTAGCAAAGCACTTTGCATGAAATATGATGTCACGTATCTCGTGTGGCACGCGGCCTTGGTATGCTAGAGACTGGAATGGCCGAAAATGAAGTGGTCAGACATTTTCGTGTCCATAGAAACACGAATCTCTTTGGATACGTTTTCAACATAACGGGAAGACAAGATATTTGCCTCGGACCGACCGTCCACGCGTGACGCCACATCAGCAATACAACCACATTCGGCTGACCCATCTAAGGAATTGATTCCAAACTGCCAGCATGACTCTCGGACCATTCCTGGCTTACGTCCAATAAGTTCCAGGACTGTACGGAACCGGCTGAGGGAGCACAACATCGGGCCCGACGGCCTTCAATACATCGTATTTTGCTCCAACTTCACCGACAGGCACAGGAGACAAGATTGGACTGGTGTTTAGTTCACTGACGGGTCGAGATTCCATCTGAACAGCTCAGATGGCAGGGCAAGCGTGTACAGGCGGCGAGGTTAACGGTAGGTTGACACGTTAGGTTGTGACAGCGTTATGGTATGGGATCATCAGATCTCCTGGTCGGAGACATCTTGTCATTGTCAATGGCAATCTGATGGGTCTGCGATACAGGGATGAGATAACTGGGCCTCACGTGCAGCGTTCACTCAGATAATGCCCGTCCATATGTCGCTCGTGTTGTGACAGATTTCCTGAGACAATAGAACAACTCGGTACTCCTCTGGCCAGCCGTTTTCCCGGACCTGTCCCATATCGAGTACGTTTGGGATGAAATGGAGCGACGTTTACGTCAAGCCCAGGATCAGCCATTGGCGTTAGCTGAATTGGAACAAGCGTTGGTTCAGGCATGGAATGTTCAACATTCCCCAAGCTTTCTTCAATAGCAATTCGTTGCCAAACCTGCATCAACGCCAATGGTGGACAATGACATTACTGAATTTGTGAACTGACTTTCGACACCACATCTTGTCATGGAAATGTCACAATGCTTACTGTCAAATCATACAGATTTCCATGTTATGTGAGATTACAGTTAAAAAGTGATTAAAGAAAACACCACAAACCATTTTATTATCTTTTTGCATTAAACTGGCACAACATCAAATGATGCACATAAATTGATCCCAGTAGTACACATGTGGCTAACGGTAAGAGCAACAGTACGTGTGTGTTGGTACAGCACAAGGCTGCGTGTAACGCACGGGATCCTCCACCGGAGTTGACGACGTGCAAAGTGACACCAACCGATGCGGGGTGTCATCACGCACAGTGACACCAACTGATGGGGGTGTCATCACGCACAGTGACACCAACTGATGCGGGGTGTCATCACGCACAGTGACACCAACTGATGCGGGGTGTCATCACGCACAGTGACACCAACTGATGCGGGGTGTCATCACGCACAGTGACATCAACTGATGCGGGGTGTCATCACGCACAGTGACACCAACTGATGCGGGGTGTCATCACGCACAGTGACACCAACTGCTGCGGGGTGTCATCACGCACAGTGACACCAACTGCTGCGGGGTGTCATCACGCACAGTGACACCAACTGATGCGGGGTGCCATCACGCACAGTGACATCAACTGATGCGGGTGTCATCACGCTGAGTGACATCAACTGATGTGGGGTGTCATCACGCACAGTGACATCAACTGATGCGGGGTGTCATCACGCACAGTGACATCAACTGATGTGGGTGTCATCACGCACAGTGACACCAACTGATGCGTGGTGTCATCACGCACAGTGACATCAACTGATGCGGGGTGTCATCACGCACAGTGACACCAACTGATGCGGGGTGTCATCACGCACAGTGACACCAACTGATGCGGGGTGTCATCACGCACAGTGACACCAACTGATGCGGGGTGTCATCACGCACAGTGACACCAACTGATGCGGGTGTCATCACACCAACTGATGCGGGGGTGTCAGTGACACCAACTGATGCGGGGTGTCATCACGCACAGTGACACCAACTGCTGCGGGGTGTCATCACGCACAGTGACACCAACTGCTGCGGGGTGTCATCACGCACAGTGACACCAACTGATGCGGGTGTCATCACGCACAGTGACACCAACTGATGCGGGGTGTCATCACGCACAGTGACTGATGCGGGGTGTCAACGCACAGTGATGCTGATGGGTGTCATCACGCACAGTGACACCAACTGATGCGGGGTGTCATCACGCACAGTGACACCAACTGATGCGGGGTGTCATCACGCACAGTGACACCAACTGATGCGGGGTGTCATCACGCACAGTGACATCAACTGATGCGGGGTGTCATCACGCTGAGTGACATCAACTGCGGGGTGCGGGGTGTCATCACGCAGTGACATCAACTGATGCGGGGTGTCATCACGCACAGTGACATCAACTGATGCGGGGTGTCATCACGCACAGTGACACCAACTGATGCGGGGTGTCATCACGCACAGTGACAACAACTGTTGCGGGGTGTCATCACGCACAGTGACACCGACTGATGCGGGGTGTCATCACGCACAGTGACATCAACTGCTGCGGGGTGTCATCACTCACAGTGACACCAACTGATGCGGGGTGTCATCACGCACAGTGACATCAACTGCGGCTAGGTGTTATCACGCAGAGTGACACCAACTGCTGCGGGGTGTCATCACGCACAGTGACACCAACTGATGCGGGGTGTCATCACGCACAGTGACACCAACTGCTGCGGGGTGTCATCACGAACAGTGACACCAACTGATGCGGGGTGTCATCACGCACAGTGACACCAACTAATGCGGGGTGTCATCACGCACAGTGACACAAACTGCTTCGGGCTGTCATCAGGCACAGTAACACCAACTCATGCGGGGTGCCATCACGCACAGTGACACCAACTGCTGCGGGGTGTCATCACGCACAGTGACACATCACGCACAGTGACACCAACTGATGCGGGGTGTCATCACGCACAGTGACACCAACTGCTGCGGGGTGTCATCACGCACAGTGACACCAACTGATGCGGGGTGTCATCACGCACAGTGACACCAACTGATGCGGGGTGTCATCACGCACAGTGACACCAACTGATGCGGGGTGTCATCACGCATAGTGACACCAACTGATGCGGGGTGTCATCACGCACAGTGACATCAACTGATGCAGGGTGTCATCACGCACAGTGACACCAACTGCTGTGGGGTGTCATCACGCACAGTGACACCAACTGCTCTTGGTGTTATCACGCACAGTGACACCAACTGCTGCGATGCGGGGTCTATCACGCACAGTGACACCAACTGATGCGGGGTGTCATCACGCACAGTGACACCAACTGATGCGGGGTGTCATCACGCACAGTGACACCAACTGATGCGGGGTGTCATCACGCACAGTGACACCAACTAATGCGGGTGATGCGGGGTGTCATCACGCATCACGTGACACCAACTGATGCGGGGTGTCATCACGCACAGTGACACCAACTGCTGCTGCGGTGTCATCATCACGCACAGTGACATCAACTGCGGCTAGGTGTTATCACGCACCGTGACACCAACTGCTGCGGGGGGTCATCACGAACAGTGACACCAACTAATGCGGAGTGCCATCACGCAGAGTGACACCAATTGATGCGGGGTGTCATCACGCACAGTTACACCAACTGATGCGGGGTGTCATCACGCACAGTGACATCAACTGATGCGGGTGTTATCACTCACAGTGACACCAACTGATGCGGAGTGTCATCACGCACAGTGACACAAACTGATGCGGGGTGTCATCACGCACAGTGACACCAACGGTTGCGGGGTGTCATCACCTACAGTGATACCGACTGATGCGGGGTGTCATCACGCACAGTGATACCGACTGATGCGGGGTGTCACCACGCACAGTGACACCAACTGATGCAGGGTGTCATCACGCACAGTGACATCAACTGATACGGGGTGTCACCACGCACAGTGACACCAACTGATGCAGGGTGTCATCACGCACAGTGATACCGACTGATGCGGGGTGTCATCACGCACAGTGACATCAACTGATAAGGGGTGTCATCACGCATAGTGACACCAACTGATGCGGGGTGTCATCACGCACAGTGACACCAATTGATGCGGCGTGTCATCACGCACAGTGACACCAACTGATGTGGGGTG